GTTCGCGCCGCGATCGGACAGGCTGGCTGCTTGGAGTTTTCCGGGTTTTCTCCTTGCCAATAACGACTAAATAGGAGGCCAGTTCCCCATAAAAGTCCTCCCGGAAGGCATTAGTTTCCCTCGCGTAACATCGCGTCCCAGAGAAGGCAACGGGAAACCACTCTGGGTTACTAACTTTCCCTAGTATACACCTTGGCGCGTTACTAACTACTTACTAACCTACGCCAGGTGTCGCCGACGTCAGGAATCTGATATGGCACCACGAAGAAGAAGAAGATGTAGCTACCTTTCTGATATTGTTCAGGATTTATCAAAACATAATTTGTCGAAACTCATAGTTTTTTATATTGCAGCAAACAACAGAAATTGTAAAAAACTGATTTTAAGCACTATAAAAGTATGGAATCGACTAGTAAATGAAGGCAGAAAGAATTATATACTACAAAATAGTTTAATTTAGTAATTTATTTGCACACTTCCTTTACTAATAACATCGAAAATGCAATTTGGCATGCTATCAACAAGGTTTTTTATGATCAATGCCTCAAGGGAGTTCCAAGTAGTGACAATTGCTTGTTTTAAGTGTTCAGCGTCAATATACTGATGATTTTGGTCATAAATTCAGTCAACCAAGATTCCATGAACATTTTCTATAGGGTTGCAATCAGGAGAATGAACTGGCCAATTTGTTTATTTTCAAACCACTGTTTCATATCTCATGATACATGGATAGATGCCATTGTTCTGTTGAAAAATAAGAGGAATTCTTCTGAATCTATGTTTGTACGGCAGCAATTTATTCTCCAGAACTTGTTGATAGTTGGCACTGTTCATATGACAGGTAATGAATGACAAATCCAATTTTCTCAATTTTCCCAGAAAAAGCACCCCAAATCATAACACTCCTACCACTGAAATTCCTTTGTGAAAAGTACTTGGGCTTTTTTTGTAAATCACACCAATAGAACGCTAAACCATCTGGCGATGGTTTAGCGTTCTACTGGTCCATCCAAGTTAAATTTTTTTTTTGTCCTGAAAGATTATCTGTTTGACAAAAAGGTTGTTATTTCTTTGCTAGCACAATAGATCTAAATGAAAGAAAAAGTTACCTTATTCCATTGAGTGGCCATGTTTTTCCTAGCAAAATTGAGTCAGGCAGCTTTGTGCTCAGGCTTAAGAGCATGGGCACTCCTCATTCGAGACCTGTGTAAAATTCTTCTAATGATTTTGTGATGTACTTGAATACCCAAATTGTTCCAAATTATAGGCGTGGACACTGTGGAATTAGAAACTGCATCTGCAGTCTTGCAGAGCATTGAAGAACATCCACTTCTACACTTTGGTCCATAATTTGCAGGATTTGACAAATGATGCTGAATGATCTTTTTTGAACACTTGATGCTGTTTGCTACTGCCTGATGACTTAAACCAGTGCTTATCAAAGCTAAAATTTGTCCTTTCTTAAAGTCTGTTAAATGGATATCACGAGGCATGATGAAATAAATAGTTTCACACTTCAGACTTGCGAGAAAGATGGTAGTTCTGTACTTATGTGGCAGTATGTAAATTGGCTTCCTTGCTATTCCACAGTCAGCCACAAATTAGTTTCCTAAAATTGTGTTTTTATAAGTTAGGTGCTGAATTACATGTAAAAAAATCTATTTATCTGTTAGTCTATGTTCTGACCTTAAAAGACCAACGTTTTTAATGGTTCTATATTTTTGTGGAGCACTGTACTGAATTTTATTCTTGGTTATATTGTATTAATTGATGTTTATATAAACATCAATACCATGAATGTCTATTTAGCATTTTTGTTTCTTTAACAATGACATTTAAAGACAAATACTGTTGATATAAAAACAAAATATCAGTAGCGATTTTATTATACAGTACTATATTTCATAATAAATTGTTTATTAAAAATTTGTGTAATTTATATTTTTCAATAGAAATTATAAATACAGTAATTGAAAATTTAAAAAATAAATATTGAACATAGAACATCAAAACTTATAAAATTGCAGAGTAAAAATTCTCTAAAAAGCAAAATAAAGTTACTACTGTATAAAAATTTTAGAACTTTCAATTAAAAAATAAAGAAATCTTTTCCTTACACATTGCACACTTGTATATGAGGAGACAGTACTTAAAGCCAATAAATAAACAATTTTTAATATCAAAAGGAAACATAAGTTATAATTGATCTATCCACCTGTTTTGCTTATTTATGTTTTGATGAATTTATTGTTTCACCTGTAGTAGTAGTTTCATGGACAATGGTAGGGATAAATACTGTATTTTGTTACAAAAAGAAATTCAATGGCAATTGAGAATTTAAAATTTATTGACTCAAGTGCTTTTAAAATTTGGGGACTAAAAATACGCAATATACCCAAATCCACAATATAATGAGGGGCCGCTGTATTTGGATATGCAGTTAATATATACCGGAGGATATAGAAAATAGATTAATACAATTTTTAATACAATATCTAGCTTTTCATTACTGATTGATTAAAATAATTCAAAATGAATTGAAGTTAGAGTTAAAATGATGGTGTTGTTATTAAAAATGTAGATTATCAGTTTGCAGACTGCAAGCTGATAATGTGCTCAAAGGCTTTGACCAGCTGAACACAACACGAAACACCATCTGATTTTAATTATCTTTTTAAGCTTGGCATTCCTACAAATAATAGTAGAAATAACAAATAAATTTATTAATTTCATTGGTGAAATAATTATTAATTATAAAAATGATATGAATGATTTTATTAGAATTGCCACATTTTTATTTTCACCAAACAAATAAATACATTACTGTACTGTAAAAGGTACTTCCAAACTGGATGAGATTACACTAAAAGCACAAACTGACATCTGTAATCCAGTTAAAAGAAACCAATTTATAAGAACAAAAGTTTTCAACTGTCTTTAACAGCCATTGTCAGGGATGTTACTTTATAGAATGTTACTTAGAACAAAATTTAAGTAAAATGGAGTTAAAATTAAGTAAAATTTATACTGGTGGTCACTTATAATAAGGTGATTTCTTTTACCTGGATTACAGGTGCTATTTTGTAATTTAAGATAATTATTGTAATATTCACTGTAACAATTAGTCTTACAATACTGATCAGATGCAAAACATTCTCTGCATACTATGTTTTTCTTAGACTTCCATTTTCTCTTATAATGGCAATTATTCACTGTTTTCTTAAATTTTCTTCTTTAGGAAACATTGCCCCCTTATTTTTGCACATAGGTATACGACACCAATTTTCTGATATCTTACTCTACTGTAAAAATATTTTGAGTAAAATTAAGTTAATTATTAATTATTAAAAAAAAAAGAATAAGTACTTCCAAAATTACTATAAACAACATGTGCCATGTTTTCAATGTTTTGCAGTGCTCACAACACCACCTAAGAGCTTCATTTGTAGTATTTTCCCCATTACAAAATTAATTGATTAAAAACTAGTTCAGGAATTACAAGATGATAATTGATCAATTTTACTATTTTTTTTTAATTATTTGTTTGATATTTTAATATTTATTGTAAATTTTCATATAGGAAAATATGTATATTGGGGAAGGTAATTCTAATATCTTAGAATTTAATAATTATTTTTAATGCATTTTGTAATACTAAATATTTATTCACAGAATTTAAAAATTTTAAAAATTTATATTTTTATCTTGAAAATATAGGAACAATTGATGTAATAGTTGCAGTTGGTGGAGAAGATGACAAAGTTGTATTAAGAAGTGTAGAATGTTTTGATCCTGTGAAATGTAAATGGTCAAGTTTGGCTTGTCTACCATTTGCTGTCAGTAAACATGGATTAGTTGTTACAGGTAATAACATATATAATCCATTAAATTTTGGTGAAGTCGAAATTTAGACAGTTGGTCTTGAAAAATGTTCTATCAATATAAAAATAATAGGATTCCTTAATTTATTAGTAGTTAACTTCTTTAATATATTAATATAAAAATTCAAAACTAAGATTATTTATTTCAATAATGTATTGAAATTTAAAATGTAAAATAAACAGTTTATTATAAAATTTATAAATTTACATATGTATATTAATAGAAATTTGCATGTTTTGACAAATGATGCTGAATGATCTTTTTTGAACACTTNTTAATATAAAAATTCAAAACTAAGATTATTTATTTCAATAATGTATTGAAATTTAAAATGTAAAATAAACAGTTTATTATAAAATTTATAAATTTACATATGTATATTAATAGAAATTTCTTTGTATTTTAGGTCAAAATATGTTATACATGGCAGGTGGAGAATTTCCCGATGGTTCGGCCAGCAAGTCCATGTGGCGATATGATCCAGTTTTTGATTCGTGGCAAGAAATGGCATTTATGAATGTTGCTCGCTCAGAACTTGGTATTACTTTAAGTGATATGAATGAGTATGAAATGATATGAATATATATAACAATTATGATATGAGTAGTTTATGTTCAAGTTATAAACAGAAATTTTTAAGAATTTATTTGGTTTGAAAAATTTTAAAAAAACTGTGTACATAATTTTTAATATATCAAAATTATTATTACAGTTTTGTTATATTTCATCATTAATACAAAGCTCACTCTTTTCAGCTTCCCTGATGTGACATGAGTCAAAGTGGCAGCATACAAGCCACAGATTTATCAGGGATTGCATTTTTTGACTTTAATGTTATCCACGACATCAATATCATTGTTGTCATTGACAATGCAGTATACACCACACCAAGAATGTTCATTACAGCTTGAAAAATTGCACTTTCTTTTCTAGTTGGCACTTTGTACACTGACAATATGAAAAATTAGTTAAGATAGTTGATGCATGCATCGGAAACTGGAAGTTAATAGATGGAAGATTTTTGAATAAAAATCTATAGTTTACAAAATATTTTTTATATTTTATTGCTTTAATAACAAAAATAACAAAACAACTGAATTACAATATTAAATGCTATAATTAGTTTATAATTTTAAAATTAAAAACCATTTCCATTGAAATCCATGCAAATGAATTATTTTTAAATATGTAAAGTTTTGTTTGTATTCATCTCCTGGATTCAATTGGGGGCTAGATTAGCATGTTGTATCCACTAGTTTTAATCATTGTCCTATCAACTCTAACTGATGTCAAAAAATGAGCATTGATTCTTTCTTTAAGTCATTGTAGAAATATGTATGGAAAATGCACATTTCTACAGTGATTACAATGACTTCTTTCTTCAAATCACTATCTCATTGAAATGTTTGGCGTAATACATAAAGTTCATTTATTTATTTTAAAAAATCCAAACAAGAAAAAAAAACCCAGTGAAATAATAGGAAGAAAATTGGACTTTTGCCAAATTTGATGATATGACCAGTGATTTTTGTGAAAGTTGCTTAATACAAACCTCGTTAATACATAGTGCCAACTTTAAGCTACTTCAACTTTATATTAATGGGGTTTGACTGTATATTTTTATTGTAAAATGAAATAATGATTATTTGAAGTTTGTAACAATATGTAATTTTTAACACAATTAATTAAAAATTCAATTGATATTTAAAAATTAAAACGTATTGATTTAATAATTAATAAATAGTTTATTAGTGTAAACTGCTTCATAATTCTTATTTTTTTTAATTTTGTTTTCATTAATTTTTGTTGAACATATTTTAATTTGACAAAAAATAGCTCTCATATAAATTCTTTTGTTTATAGGGCTAGCAACGCTAGATGGATATATTTATGCTGTCGGTGGTTGGGAAGGAGTATCTAGATTATCTAGCGTTGAACGTTATGATCCTGTAACTAATAAATGGCAATTTGTAGCATCTATGAAAATCTCACTAACAAGTCCTGCTGTAGTTGCCCATCAAGGATTACTCTATGTCACAGGTATTATATCTTTTAAAATAAACATACACTATAATTTAATAAGATTAGAACCTCAAAATTATAACTCTTATTTAGTATATTATTTCTGGTATTTGAGATTTTATTTATTTTATTAATTTTTAATTATTTATATTGAATATTTTGTTATTTTGTTACTAATCATCAAAATTACATATATACAGGATGTCTAACATAGTGTTATGAGCTAATAACTCGAGAACAACTTGACTAATGCAAATTGTCCTTTTTCATATTTTATGGTTTCATAGAAGTTTTGTAACAGTGATAAAATTATATTACTCCTTGTTTTCTTATGGGTGCAGGACAACTTTGAAATTTAAAATGGTAACTTAGAGAAGATTCAAACTGTTAACCAGATGTAACTGATGAAAATGCAATAATATTTAAGAATATTCAAATTGTTAAACATTTATTCTTTTTCTAAACATTTACTTTTTCTTTTACAAAATTTTGTTTAATTCTGCACAATGTTTTAGTCGTGGTCATTGTAGCACAGGCTTCAGATTCTCTCTCTTTTCTTTGACATATCCCCATAGAAAGTAGTCAAGGGATGTGAGATCAGGTGAAAAAGGAGACCGTTGAGTCAATGAATTAGTATAATAGTGCACATGTATCTTTGGCAAAATATGATTGAGCACCATCTTGCTGAAACCCTGTTTCTCTTTTCAGATTAGTGGTACATTTTTTATAGTTGGTTGCATGATCATAAAAGTAAAGGACTGAACAATTTGAATCAACTCTAAGCTTCAACTGTCCTTAATTTTTAATAGATATGTGTAATATGTATAAAAAAATTTTTGATGAAAGTGTTTTTGTCTTTTCGTTGAATCAAAAGTATACACTTTTCTCTAGGATTCCATTTGAAATTTCAATGTTACTCCCCGTCTGCCAGTAGTGAACGAGGGTGAGGAGCAATAAGATTTTATCGTTGTTATAAAACTTCTTTGAAACCATAATAAAAAATGAAAAAAGATGATTTGCATTGGTTAAGTTGTTTTGAATTATTAGCTTGTAACACTTTGTTGTATATTCTGTATATATGCATATATTAAATCCCAACTAACTTTATTAGGACTTTCCTCTAATATTAGAAAACTTCTAAAACAATTTTCAAAATTAAAATTCTAGTACAAACAATTACTTGTACTAGAATATTGATTTTAAAAATTGTCTTAGAACTTTTATAATCTAAAAATTTGGAACTTAAAAGGCAAAAAATTGTTGAAAATATTTGTTCTGTATATTAAAATATGCTTCTCTAAGATAAATGATCAAAATTTAGTATAGATATACTTACTAGAATTTAGTATAGATTTAGGTTTAAGTAAATTTCATTTAAAAGTTTCTCATTAAAACTGTTACCTTTTTAAACAAATTTTAAGAACTAATTTCATTCATAATAAATTGATACAACAAATTGTAAAAGATTTTTTTTATTAATTAATTTAAATACAGTTGGTGATTGGTTAACAAACATAATCCGTTCCAAGATTTTGTTCACTATCCGAATTGTTCATTAACCAATTATCGATTTATCATAGGTTTTAATGGGAATTTAATTAATTTGTTCTGGAGACCGCCCAAAAATAAAAAATATATACTTTCTTTACATGTTTATATGTAATAATAAAAATACATACATACACGGTCTTGCATTTTTATTAGTCATGTTTTTTCCGTTTGAAAGGGTTAAAGAATTTGTCTAATGTTGATTGCTTTTCTCTCTTATTCAGGATTTTTCGCAAGTAATTAATAGTATTGCAATTGTAGAAATCCCCAAGCCTCAACCTGGTTTAGAAGCCATTCTAAGACCATTGTTCTGACATCCTCCCACTTCTTCAAAGGATCTTTAATGACAGATACAGTGGAACCCCGGTTAACAAACATCCTGGTTAATGACCAAATCGGTTAACAAACTTTTATTTTGCAAAAATTTTGTCTTGTATAACGAATGTAATGGTATTTTGTATCAAATTTTAGTTGGTGTTAGGCATGCGTGAGTTAAGCAGTGCTTTTCTGAGTGTTTGTTCTATACTTCTTTTTCAGTTTTGTGATTTATATATTTAATCAATATTTCTTCCAAGAAAGAAAAAAGTCATAGTGGCAATAGAAAATGACAACGCAATATGAACGACAATGTGCTATCGCATTTGAGAAAAATTTTGATTAAAAGAGTAAGACAATCAACTTTAGATCAATTTCTTGTTCCTTACGGAAAGAGTTTGTTTGTTTGTTAAGTTATAGCAACACAACACTTGGACGATCTGCCTAGGGGGAATGCCTTCTGGGAGGTGTTTTTAAGGGAAACTGGCCTCTATGTAGGCATTACAGACGTGGAGAAAACCCCGAAAACTCTACGTGGACAGCTTGTCTGAGCGAGGTGCGAACCCATGAACGAACTCCCCGTGTTCAGGGTATGAAGACTGCTTAGCCACTGGTGGGCTTTCTTACCGAAAGAGGCTTCGACTCAAAGAATCTTCTGATGAAGTGCTACCCATTATTTTTTTGGAGGGGATTCCCCTTTTAAGCATTAAGGTTTGTATATCTCCACTTTTCTGCCACCAACTACAACAAATGAAGGTATGTACAGTGCTATTTTATTAAACAAAGTTTACATGTTTTTTGCTGTAACGATAGATACTTTGTATAAAATGTTTTCCTACATTTTTATCAAAGAAAATCTACTGTATATTACAATAAAATCACAAAAATTTTGGAGACTAGAACAGATTAATTTCATTTGCATTAATTTCTATGGGAAAAATTGCTTTGGTTAATGAACAATTCAGTTAGCAAATGGAGTCGCGGAACGGATTAAGTTTGTTAACCAGGGTTCCACTGTATCAACATTAATTACCTTTTTCAGAAAATAACATATTTTGCTGAGTTTTTTGGTGTTGTTCATTCAAGAGTTCTTGTCATTCTTCTGTCGTCAGATCTGTTTCAGGTTCCATTATGAACTCTTCGTTGCTCTTTATTACTCAGATGTGATATTTGTTACTCCTTTAGCGGCTTGAGTCTTCTCGATTATACGGTATTTTTCTTAAATAAGATTGAACTGCTGCCTACAGTAGACCTGTTCACGCCATACTGCCCAGCAACATTAGGCATCTTCTGCCCACTTTCTACCTTTGCTACTATACTCTCAACCTTTCAAAAAGAAAAACAGATGCAAAACTTAATGAGTGCCTACCAAACAGTCTCACGAATACATAAAAGAATTGTTTCTGTCAGAAAAATAAAAGGCTGGAATTACAAGGGAGAGTTTCAAAGTTCGGAGGAATACTATCCAATCGGTATGTACCGGCTTGAGCGTTGATGTCGACGTCTCCCACACTTTGAAAAGTTTCAAATTGTTACCCAGAGACAAGGGAAGACCAATTGGTATTCATTATTTTACATAGCTTTATCTTGTGTTTGTTCTGTGAGGTGTTCGTTGTCTGAACATAAAAATCTTTCGTGAAAGTGTTCGTTATCTGATCTGTTCGTTAACCGATCACTCACTGTACTATTATTATTATATAACTGTAAAACCAATATTCTTTGTTCCAATAAACATCTCCATACTGTAATGAATTGAAAATACTACTATTTTGCTTTGAATTTTTATTTCAATTTATCTGTGTAAATAAATATTTTCTTCTTAGCATATATAACTATAATTAATCACTGACATAATCTAATTGCCTGTTATTTGAGAGTAATAATTTATAATTTGATGATTTATATTTCATACATGACAAATATATTACTACTTTTTAAAACATTTAGGTGGTGCAGTGTTAGAAGATGGTGATGGCATTGATTTAGTACAGTGCTATAATCCTAGAACTAATTCATGGAACGAAGTTGCTCCTATGTTAATAGCACGTTCAGGATCTGCTATTTGTGTGATAAAGAATTTGATATATGTATTAGGTAATAAAATATTGAATATTTTAAGAATTGTGTAATATTGGCAGTTAGATATATTGAAATAATGTAAGCTGATTTTCTATTAGCCAAACAACTATAAGTTGGATTATATTTGGGTTAATGAGTGTCCAGAAAAAATTCATGCAAGTTTATTTAATGTAAACCAAACAATTGCTGTAATTAATTGGGCTAATTAAATGCTATTATTAATGATTAATTACTAAATAGTTTGGTAATAGACTTTTGGGCTAATCAGTAATTTTGGTAGTAATTAACCCAATTAATTACGGTGATCATTTGGTTTATTATTAATAGATCAGGCTTAATGTTGTTTATAGTTGTTTAATGTAATTTTTATCTTGGGAAAAAACTATGAACTAAATGGTCATTTGTAAGGTGATGAAAAGTTGTACATTATTTTTATTATTGTAATTTTACAAGTCCCAATTATTTAATGCAATCAATTCAACTTTAGGTGTTTAGTTCTAGTTTCTGTCCAAGATTTTGGTTCATATTTTTCAAATGATATTTTACACAATTGATCAGCCAATCCATGTTTTCTTGCCTTTATCCCTTTTTATAAATAGCTGCCTTGAGTATTGTACAAAAATTCTTGATTGATCTAATTTCTGAAACTTTTTTTAGAGTTCTTCTTTTTTGATGAAGGCAATGTTTATTTGTTGCAGGTAATTCAGTATGGTTTAGTGTAGTGGAATCTTACTCAATCAGGGTAGAAGACATATTCTGATTGAGATTAGTTCTTTCAAATGTAAGGAATTGGGAAATGTCATATACATTTATGGCAATCATTTGGTTTAGTATCGTACACATTCTTTGTTTTCAAAGCCTCATGAAACCAACTACGTGAAATTTTTAGTTTTAGGGGTACAGATTGAATTGAAACCTTGCCACTATCTTCAAAGGTGCTCTTCAGTTCTTCCAACTTGTCTTTTATTAGAATTTTCACTTTTTTTTTTACCAGACCTCTCTTCTCTGTGGTGCTAACCCACTTCTGAAATGTTGGAGAATACAGTATATAGTCTGTTTTGAAATTCCTTCATTTTCAAAACAATTTACAATAAACATTGTAAATTGTTTTGAAAATGAAGCCTTCGGTCCACAGTAGAGCCTCGAAAACTCGGCCTAATGTGGACCAAAGGGTGGCTGAGTTTGTGAAAATGCCGGGTTATCAGGAATGGGGTTAAAAAAAATAAGTATGAGTGTTTTCTCAGAAAATACTGTACTGAACTTGTATGTATTGTTTGCTTGAAAATACAACAGAGAATAAACTGCCCAAATACCCTTAAACAAAGGAAAAGTACGTACTTTATGAAGGCATAGAGCCTTTACTACATGAAAATGAAAATTAATGAATACACTGTGTACAGTAATTTACCTGATAAGACCTCAGAAAAAANTCAGCTGAACGTTTGAAAAAGTCTTTTAAAAACATGATTGATAAGGATGGTTACAAAAAAACCAATGTCTACAATGCAGATGAAACTGGTTTGTACTGGAAGAAAATGCCAACAAAAACCCTAGTTTCTAAGAATGAAATGTCAGCACCTGGTTTTAATTAATTAATTAAGACAAGCAAATTACACATTACTGTTATGGTATGCAGAAATGTTACTGGAACGCACAGGCTACCTTTGCTAATCGTAGGAAAGTCTAAAAATCTACTGTGCTTTAAGGGAATAAAAAAATTGCCGGTCATCTACAAAAATCAAAAGAATTCATGGATGGATACAAGCATTTTTATAGAATGGTATGACACTGTATTTATCCCTGAAGTCAGAAAGCATCATTTTAAAACTGGGAATACTGGAAATGTTTTGTTGTTGTTCGATAACGCTCCAAGTCATCCCTCAAACATTTCACTGAAAAGAGAAAACAGAAAGTTTAAAGTTGTTTACTTGCCTCCCAACGTTATTTCAGTCCTCCAACTGATGGACCAAGGGGTCACTGGAAGCTTCAAACAATATTACAGAAAGGCATTGCTGCATATGGTAATGCTCAGGGAAGAATGTGAAAAAACAATTCAGCAATTGTACACTGAAATTAACTTGAAGGATGCTATGTACATGGCAGCAAATGCTTGGGCTGCTGTCAAGGACACTACACTAGTAACAGCTTGGAATAAGCTCCTACCATCAGATGAGTCTATGAGTCTATCACTACACCTGAAGAATCACCAAACAGCCAATTTATATCACATCTGTGTGGGCCAATTAAAGAATGTTATGGATTTGAAGAATGCGAATACAAAAACATTCAAGACTGGCTCGAATGTAATGCCGATGACCCTGGCTATCAAATATTGTCGGACGATGAAATCATTGCCAGTGTCATCAACAACCAATACCCTTGCAATGACGAAGAAGAACCTAGCGATGACAACCGTGCTGAAAAAGCATCCAGTGAGAAAGCTTTTCACAGCCTTGAGACAGCTATGAAGTGGTTAGAACAGCAAGAAGAATGTTACGCTATCCAATTGCTGTTTTAAAACGTGTGAGATTTAGTGGCAAAAAAAACGAGTGTCAACTGTGAAGCAAAAGAAAATTTTGGACTTCTTTTTCTAATGTATAGGCTTACTTTATGTAAAATATGTAACCCAAATACTGTATATATTTTTTGTTTTATATTTTTCAATGTACTGTACATTACAGTACTGTATTTATTTTATGCAAAATAAAGAAATAATTTTTAATGATGCAATAGTGACGATTGTTATTTAAAAAAAGTTTTGTTAGGCTTAGCATTGAGGAAAATTCAATGCAAAGTAGGTTAATAGCGATATACTAATATGCTAATTATATGGGATATACTAATATACTATACTAATAATGTATTTTTTTCATACTTTTCGGTTATCCATTTTTTCAGTTATTCGACCAACCCCAGTCTCCAATTGAGTTGGATAATCAATGCTCTACTGTACAAAATTCTTCCAAATCTACCATATTTATTGAGTTTGGCTCCCTCAGACTTCTACCTGTTCCTGAAACTCAAGACATTTCTAGCTGAAAAGAGATTTTGGTCCAATGAAGAGGTGATCGAGATTGTAAATAGCTATTTGGGAGTCCCAGAGGAAAATAATTTCTGGGAAGGAATTGAAAAGCTGCAGAAATGTTGGATCAGGCATTAAGATTTGAGGGGATTATGTTGAAAAATAAAGCATAACTTGGAAATCATTTATTTTGTTTTCATTGTCATTTTGGAAGCTTTTCAACCCACCCTTGTGTAATAAGATTCCTTTTATTGTACTAATGTTTTTTTAATAACCAAATGGAAATTACTTTCTGGATAGCCTATATAATATTATCATCTTCATAGACGAAGAAATTAAATCATATTGAAACAATTGTTTGTTTGGCATATAAGTTAGTATGTAATCTTTGTTCAGACAGTTTAAATAACTTAAAATAGGAAATATCTGATTTTAATTTTTTAATCATATTTAAATGCATTAATTTTTATTTAAGAATGTAAAGATATGATGATAGGAGGAAGAGAACTGTAGATCCTTTTTTATATAATGATTGAGAAGCTATAGAAGTATGGTATCCTCTTATTATAACACACTTGTCAAGAGACAAAGAAAAAGCATGATATATCCAGCAGCATGATATAATCGAGTAATAAAAATTCTGGGCTTTTACTAAACAGATTATACATGCTATGGAATCTCTATCCTCTATTCTTTCATCAGTAAGTGTTTCCAATATGAAATAAGCTTAGTTTTTCAATACAGTGCTTTACAAAAGTATAGAACCACTGCAAATTTACTATAGGAAGGTTAGGAATTACACTTATGATGTAGCTACGCCCACCAGTGGCCGAGCGGTCTTCGTACCCTAAACACTGGGAGTTCGGTCGTGTGTTCGCGCCGCGATCGGACAGGCTGGCTGCTTGAAGTTTTCCGGGTTTTCTCCTTGCCAATAACGACTGAATAGGAGGCCAGTTCCCCATAAAAGTCCTCCCGGAAGGCATTAGTTTCCCTCGCGTAACATCGCGTCCCAGAGAAGGCAACGGGAAACCACTCTGGGTTACTAACTTTCCCTAGTATACACCTTGGCGCGTTACTAACTACTTACTAACCTACGCCAGGTGTCGCCGACGTCAGGAATCTGATATGGCACCACGAAGAAGAAGAAGATGTAGCTACCTTTCTGATATTGTTCAGGATTTATCAAAACATAATTTGTCGAAACTCATAGTTTTTTATATTGCAGCAAACAACAGAAATTGTAAAAAAACTGATTTTAAGCACTATAAAAGTATAGAATCGACTAGTAAATGAAGGCAGAAAGAATTATATACTACAAAATAGTTTAATTTAGTAATTTATTTGCACACTTCCTTTACTAATAACATCGAAAATGCAATTTGGCATGCTATCAACAAGGTTTTTTATGATCAATGCCTCAAGGGAGTTCCAAGTAGTGACAATTGCTTGTTTTAAGTGTTCAGCGTCAATATACTGATGATTTTGGTCATAAATTCAGTCAACCAAGATTCCATGAACATTTTCTATAGGGTTGCAATCAGGAGAATGAACTGGCCAATTTGTTTATTTTCAAACCACTGTTTCATATCTCATGATACATGGATAGATGCCATTGTTCTGTTGAAAAATAAGAGGAATTCTTCTGAATCTATGTTTGTACGGCAGCAATTTATTCTCCAGAACTTGTTGATAGTTGGCACTGTTCATATGACAGGTAATGAATGACAAATCCAATTTTCTCAATTTTCCCAGAAAAAGCACCCCAAATCATAACACTCCTACCACTGAAATTCCTTTGTGAAAAGTACTTGGGCTTTTTTTGTAAATCACACCAATAGAACGCTAAACCATCTGGCGATGGTTTAGCGTTCTACTGGTCCATCCAAGTTAAATTTTTTTTTTGTCCTGAAAGATTATCTGTTTGACAAAAAGGTTGTTATTTCTTTGCTAGCACAATAGATCTAAATGAAAGAAAAAGTTACCTTATTCCATTGAGTGGCCATGTTTTTCCTAGCAAAATTGAGTCAGGCAGCTTTGTGCTCAGGCTTAAGAGCATGGGCACTCCTCATTCGAGACCTGTGTAAAATTCTTCTAATGATTTTGTGATGTACTTGAATACCCAAATTGTTCCAAATTATAGGCGTGGACACTGTGGAATTAGAAACTGCATCTGCAGTCTTGCAGAGCATTGAAGAACATCCACTTCTACACTTTGGTCCATAATTTGCAGGATTTGACAAATGATGCTGAATGATCTTTTTTGAACACTTGATGCTGTTTGCTACTGCCTGATGACTTAAACCAGTGCTTATCAAAGCTAAAATTTGTCCTTTCTTAAAGTCTGTTAAATGGATATCACGAGGCATGATGAAATAAATAGTTTCACACTTCAGACTTGCGAGAAAGATGGTAGTTCTGTACTTATGTGGCAGTATGTAAATTGGCTTCCTTGCTATTCCACAGTCAGCCACAAATTAGTTTCCTAAAATTGTGTTTTTATAAGTTAGGTGCTGAATTACATGTAAAAAAATCTATTTATCTGTTAGTCTATGTTCTGACCTTAAAAGACCAACGTTTTTAATGGTTCTATATTTTTGTGGAGCACTGTACTGAATTTTATTCTTGGTTATATTGTATTAATTGATGTTTATATAAACATCAATACCATGAATGTCTATTTAGCATTTTTGTTTCTTTAACAATGACATTTAAAGACAAATACTGTTGATATAAAAACAAAATATCAGTAGCGATTTTATTATACAGTACTATATTTCATAATAAATTGTTTATTAAAAATTTGTGTAATTTATATTTTTCAATAGAAATTATAAATACAGTAATTGAAAATTTAAAAAATAAATATTGAACATAGAACATCAAAACTTATAAAATTGCAGAGTAAAAATTCTCTAAAAAGCAAAATAAAGTTACTACTGTATAAAAATTTTAGAACTTTCAATTAAAAAATAAAGAAATCTTTTCCTTACACATTGCACACTTGTATATGAGGAGACAGTACTTAAAGCCAATAAATAAACAATTTTTAATATCAAAAGGAAACATAAGTTATAATTGATCTATCCACCTGTTTTGCTTATTTATGTTTTGATGAATTTATTGTTTCACCTGTAGTAGTAGTTTCATGGACAATGGTAGGGATAAATACTGTATTTTGTTACAAAAAGAAATTCAATGGCAATTGAGAATTTAAAATTTATTGACTCAAGTGCTTTTAAAATTTGGGGACTAAAAATACGCAATATACCCAAATCCACAATATAATGAGGGGCCGCTGTATTTGGATATGCAGTTAATATATACCGGAGGATATAGAAAATAGATTAATACAATTTTTAATACAATATCTAGCTTTTCATTACTGATTGATTAAAATAATTCAAAATGAATTGAAGTTAGAGTTAAAATGATGGTGTTGTTATTAAAAATGTAGATTATCAGTTTGCAGACTGCAAGCTGATAATGTGCTCAAAGGCTTTGACCAGCTGAACACAACACGAAACACCATCTGATTTTAATTATCTTTTTAAGCTTGGCATTCCTACAAATAATAGTAGAAATAACAAATAAATTTATTAATTTCATTGGTGAAATAATTATTAATTATAAAAATGATATGAATGATTTTATTAGAATTGCCACATTTTTATTTTCACCAAACAAATAAATACATTACTGTACTGTAAAAGGTACTTCCAAACTGGATGAGATTACACTAAAAGCACAAACTGACATCTGTAATCCAGTTAAAAGAAACCAATTTATAAGAACAAAAGTTTTCAACTGTCTTTAACAGCCATTGTCAGGGATGTTACTTTATAGAATGTTACTTAGAACAAAATTTAAGTAAAATGGAGTTAAAATTAAGTAAAATTTATACTGGTGGTCACTTATAATAAGGTGGTTTCTTTTACCTGGATTACAGGTGCTATTTTGTAATTTAAGATAATTATTGTAATATTCACTGTAACAATTAGTCTTACAATACTGATCAGATGCAAAACATTCTCTGCATACTATGTTTTTCTTAGACTTCCATTTTCTCTTATAATGGCAATTATTCACTGTTTTCTTAAATTTTCTTCTTTAGGAAACATTGCCCCCTTATTTTTGCACATAGGTATACGACACCAATTTTCTGATATCTTACTCTACTGTAAAAATATTTTGAGTNTTTTATTAATTTTTGTTTTATAAATTAGCCTGCTTTTTAAAATTTTTTTTTAAATTTTAGTAATTATAAATGAGTTAACATTGATTGAACTATTGGGCTACCTATTTTATTCTTAATAGCTTTATAAAGGAATCCTACTGTTTGCTTGATATTTTTTTCCTAATGTTTTATTTAACGTGTAAAAGTTTACTGTTAGACAGAAAATCTTCCTTCATTGCTATTTTGAAAGATGCAGAGAAAGATGTTATAATGTTTTACAGTATTTCATGCACATTATTTATAGCATGTGAGGCATAATTAAGAATTATTGGCTGTTAGCTAAAACCTGAGATACCTTGTGCAGATTTTTTCTGGACACTTTGTTATAATTAATCATAATTATAATCTATATGTAATTCAGTGTTTAGATATTTGGCTGTTAACATTTAATTGTTACAATTATCCATTTTTGGAGCATATCAGACATTAAATAGACATTGTATAGAATGCTTTATATGCTTAATGTTAAATACTTTAATGTAAAGGACCTATGGAATCAATGTAGAGNTTTAAAGAAATGTGCTGTAACAAGATGAACTCCCCAAAACATATAAATAAAGAGTAATGGTGCCGTGCATGGTAATGGAATAAAATCAGAACACAAAATTATACTTGGATTGTTTAAATAGAGTTATCCATAGCTGTGGTATTTCCAATGTCGGCGCATTACACGGCAAAGCAGCAGATATGTAAAGGTTCTCTCATATGAAAAGCATTGCAATGATCGTAGGCAAATATTCATATGAGAGAACCTTTACATATCTGTTGCTTTGCCGTGTAATGCGCCGACATTGGAAATACCACAGCTATGGATAACTCTATTTAAACAATCCAAGTATAATTTTGTGTTCTGATTTTATTCCATTACCATGCACGGCACCATTACTCTTTATTTATATGTTTTGGGGAGTTCATCTTGTTACAGCACGTTTCTTTAAAAATATTTATTTATTCAATTTTATTGTTTTGTTCTATATTCCAACCACATGCATTACGTAATTTGAAAAGTCCGTTAAAAGCTGTCAACTCGAAAATAAAAGTATTTGATTTCGCCTGAAGATAACGGTTGTAAACTGTTGAAAGTACTAGCGAGTATATCTGAAATTTAACAAATCGTTGTCAATAACGCCGTAACAGGGAAGTGTCCTATATTTAATTTATACTTAAACTTTAAACTTTATACAGTATATGAAAATAGACTTTATATTGTTCTTTATTTTGGATGTTTTGTTACTCACTGTTCAATGTATTTGTAAGCTAAAGAAATCCAGAATAATATACAAAAATATATCTCATTAAATATTTTTTGTTTTTTGTTTCCTGAAAGAAGCAATCTATCTAATTTTTGATAACTTTACATATATATTTTTAATGAAATACTTTTGTGATTTCAGGTGGTTGGCATGCATCAACAGAAAATACTAATAAAGTGGAATGTTTTAATCCAAAAAAAAATGAATGGCAGTTTTGCAATCCAATGAGAGAGAAAAGGTATCAACCGGGCGTTGCTGTTGTCAATGGAAAAATATATATATGTGGTGGAGAAGAAGGATGGGATAGGTAGAAAATAAATTTTATTAAAATTTCTAGAATAAAACAGGAAGTTTATAATAGTTTCTAATATTTATAAACTAAAAAATAAGCTGTGTATGACAGCTTATTTTTTACAAATCATAAGTAAATCACATACAAATTAAAGTTTTGCTGTTTTCACTACCTTCATGAATTTCATTGAGATATTAGAATCAAAAATCTTGTTAATCACTCATTAAGTTTTAAAATCTCATCATAAACCATTATTTTGATACAAAGAAACTGACTGAATTAAAATAGATTCATTTTATGTAGCAGGAATGTTTTCAAATCTTCTGGTTTGATATTAGTTGCATTCTAAAAATAACTTCTATAAAAATATGATCTATATTTAAAATTTTGAAATTTGTTTGATTTGTAAATGAGAAAGCAGTTTCAGTTGTCCTGATTCTAAATAATAATTAAGATGTAATTTTTGAATTTAAATGAAGTTTGTTTGATTTGGAAATTTTAGGATATAGCTGATGACTGAGAGATTCAAAAATATTTCTGCTAAACAATATTGGCTTCTCTGATAGTCTGTTTGTATTTTTATTTTGGATGAATATGAAATTGTTAGTTAAATAAATTATAATTGATTATAGAAATTTAATGAAGTAACAAAATTTTTGTAGTAGCTTGTGCATTTATTCATTGTTTGTTTTGTGTATCTTCATTGTTTTTTTTAATTCTCAATTGAGAAGAACCACACTGTTCTTTTAAAATAGAAAATAGAATCAACACATGACCAAATGCAATGACTTTATTAAGATTTTACAATAATGATATACATTTGTAGCTCTCCTCTTCAGTTAGTCAAGAGATTAATGACTGAGAGAAGTGCTACACACTTGAAATTTATATCATTATCGTAAAATTTTAATAAAGTCATTGCAAGGTCATGCATTGGTTCTGTCTTCTATCTTTAAAGAATAAATAAAGTCTTTATTATGATAAAGTCATAAGCTAATTCTTATTTCAAAGTAATTGCTAAACATTTTCAACATTATTAATTTTTTTGTATTTCATATTGATTTTGATTTTTTCAAAACTTTTCATTCCTTAAGTGTGATTAAATGAAAATAATCATTTATTCATTCTTGAATAAATGGATCAAATTACTTTTTACAATGCATATTGAGTTTTATGTTTTATAATAAAATTTTACCTACTTTTATTAAACTAAAATATTGGTAATCCTTGATTTAGCAAGCTTTTACTTAATGCATTTTTCTTTTAATCTAATTCATTATTAGAAATTTTTGTATTACATACCACTTTTTCAGTATAACCTATTTCCAAAGAACATCCTATTAAGCACTATAGAAGAGCTCTCTTAATGTGTTACTTTCAAGGAATATATGTACTATGTTACCTGAAAAACTTTATTATTTTAGATACCACGACACAATGGAATGCTACGAACCCGAGAAAGATCAGTGGACTATAATAGGAATGATGCAGACATCTCGTAGTTGGTTATGCTGTGCTCCACTTCAAGTAGGTGTTGCAATGCACTCAATTGTATTTATCAATAACTTGTATAATTATTATTATTATTTTTGTTTTTTGTATTTTCATCAAATAGCTTTCCCGTAGTTTATTTATACAAGAACATTCCTGACAACAGCATCGAGCCAGTCTGATTGCATCGTATTTTGGTTGTCAGCTGGCAGATTATATTTTTCAAATGCTAGTCACTATGGAACATCAGTTTGATCATAATGAAAGAATATTTGAATTATTTTCAACTCTTCGAGCTACATGGAATATTAGTATTTGGCAAAATTTGACTTTTAATGGTTGAAAATAATGTGTAATCATAGATTTCATTGTAATATATTTCACAGATCAAATATCATTTCTACTGTTTATATTTATTTCTATATATATATATTGATATATATCATATTAAGCTTTTAATGTTAATAAACTTACTTAAATTGTATTCTGTTAATGATTGTTTATGTTGCATTTTTAAAAAATGTTGGATTATTTGTATAAATTGTACATAAGGTATTTATTCTCAGATTGTTGTTGCTGAAATTTTATTATTGATTATACAGTATTTATAATAATTTATCACTGCCACAAATTTTTAACACTCCTGTGATGGTTAAAACAAATATTTTCTTCTCCATGTAATGATATTAAATTAGGACAATGTATTACTTTTCTTAATAAAATATAATTTATTGTATAAATATATAAATTGAGGATTTTGTACTGGAAAAAAATATTCATCATCACATGCATTTCACATTTTGAAAATTAATTTATTGTTATATTTACAAACTTTGTCTAGATTACATAGGAAAATATACTGTATTTCCATAGGCATAAGAACATACTCCTATAAATGGAGAAAAATGGGCATTTTATTCTACAAAGTACTGAAAAACTTATTGTTTTTATAGTATTGGAAGCATTTTTATTTTTAATAATGGTTACCATAAAGATATCACTGAATAGTTACTGTATTAGTATAATTACATTTAATTTACATTAATAATTAGTGCTGTTATAAGTAAAGCAGGTCATACATTTCATAAATGTGAAAATCAGTGATTTTTTTTTGTAAGATTTCTGTGCTTTTATTTGCACAGAAATAAATTATTATAAGATTTTTTTCTAATGGTTTAATTAAGCAAAAAATTTCAGTTCTGAAGATGTAATCAATACTATAGGCCATATTACTTATCAGTTTTCAATTGTTTCATAATTGTTTCAGTACAAAGTATAAATTATCTTACATAAAAACTTTTGAAGCTAATTAAGTATATTTGAATTTTCTACTTTGAAAGAAATTTTATTAAAACAGCATTGTAATAGTGGCAGTTAGATCCAGGAGGGAACAGTATGAGTATTTCTTCCTGTATGCATTATAGTTATGCTTAGAGAAGTTAAAAACTGGATAACTGAATTAAAATAAAACCCTTTAAATTAATCACATAGAAAAGCAAGCTTGAATTGTAAAAGCAATCAAATAATGCTGCTGGATTAATTATCAGGCTAGAACAGGGGTCTCAAATTCAAATGCAGCAAAGAGCCAGTTAAATAGATGTACATCAGACATGGGCCATATTCTATACTACTCTATTTGGTAAATCAAAGCATACTGTAATTAAAAAAGGCTCTAAAACAATGGTCCTTTTATTGCCAGGCCTTTACAACTTATGTAAACAGTTAGACCAGTATTTTTCAACCTTTTTTTTTTTTATCTCAAAATTTTATACTGTTTTTGATGGATCGATTGATATTTAAAACCACATTTTCATTATAATTTGTTAAAACACCATATGCACATGCAGTATTAACACACTTCCCAAATCAGCTAAAAGTGTTAATTTTTTACACTTTTATATCAAACTGCCTCCTTATTGGCCTTTATATGCCTGGTGGCTCTGTGTAAAGGCAGGCACCCGTCTGCGGGTCTTGGACAAATGCCCACCACAGTCTCTAGAATGTCCTGCAAGCATTTAACTATATCTTTACAATTTTTTGTTTCTAGTCCTGGTATCCAGTTCTGTCATCTTCCATCTGGTATCCAGTTCTATCAAGTCATGAACAAACATTGATGATCTAACCCTTATTTGGAACAATTATTGCTCAGTACAGGACTTCTTCAAAGCAGTTAACAGCAGTAAAGTGGACATTGCCTACTTTAAAAGTTTCAAAAGTTCATTGAAAGAAAAATTTTTGGATGTAATGGTTTTTGTAGCAAAAAAGCAATATTGTAGCAAAGTGTACATAAAGTCAGGTAACATCAGTTCATATATTCACTTGTACTCCGATGATTTAATAGCCCATAAACTGGCAGCACATAGGGCACTACTAAAAAGAGCTAAAGAACATTAAGAACATAAGAATTCTGGAGAAAAGTTTCATTTACATATTAAAAAAGCATCTAAACATCATTAATGCACAGGACACTATAAAACTGGACACCAGATAGGTGAGAATACCAGAAACAAGAAATTGGGAGGATGTAGTTAAGGATTACCTTGCACTTGGATTCTACTGTACTACTATAGATGAAGTGTTTTGCATTTTCATAGGAAATCAAACATATTTTTAGACCCATCTAAAAATTCTCTTATCTTGGAGGAGAGAACCTAATTCTTGCACCTGGTGAAAATGGGTAAGTTCGGCTATAATCTAATAATCTTAATCTTCGCTATTGTTACTTTTTGCCCGAGCAATGCCAGGCTCATCTGCTAGTTATCATATAATGCAAAGATTTATCACTATCATATAACATAAGGACTCAAGCATTTCTGATAATAGGTAAAGTTAATTTTTACATTACAGCCAACTTGACACAGATTCAATTTTCAATTTCCTAATTTTGACAAAACCAACATCAATTGTGAATCCTCATGGTAAATATTCCTTACACCAATGGACCAAAGCTTGTGACTTTGGTTCATTGGTGTAAGGAACATTTGCAATAAAGTGTGGACAATTTTTTCCTAGATGGGAAAAAATTGCCCAGACTTTATAGCAATTAGACAAATAGGTTCATGATAGGATCAAACAAAGTGGTGTTTGAAGATCCGAATAGTAGACCCTACATCTGTGGGACAACGCTAAGAATTAAAATAGGTTCATGATTTTTCTAATATGATCACAAACTTCTGCAAGATGTTTTTCATAAAGACTCCTAAGCAGTGATCTTTTGCTTTATAGGGTTGGAAGGAGCTGATGAATACAAGACTTACTTCTTATCTAGACCTAATTTCCTGGACAATTATGCAGTTAACTGTTGTTGAAGTTCAGAAATTTGCAAAAATTTAAATAATTTTGATCTTTTTAACCATAAAATGAAATAATTTTAGCAAATAACAAAACTTTCACCTTTATACTGGAGTAATTTTTATTTTAACATGCACACAAAAAATTTATTTGGTCCTATTTGTGAGCTGTCATCAGGTAGTTGTACTGTTTAGTTTAGAGTAACAAAATTCTCAAAATATTTTTAATAAGCAGCCAAAATTAACAAGAGTCTGACCATTCAATTTGGGTACAAACAAATTTTGGATTTGTTCACACCTTTGGTAATTTTGTCAAATATTAAACAAGATTTAAAAATTGGGCACTTGCCATTATTGTTTTTACTAGCATTTTTATTAAAATTCTTGTATGTAACTTTGTACAGATTTCACTTAAACAATATTCCAGTGACAAATAATAAACAAACTCAGAGTTATTGTGCAAATTCTCTAACCAATGCTTTAAAGTGATAACATGAGGCAGATTTATAAGTTTTTGCAAAAATTCATATGCTTTAGGTGAACAAGAATACAATTTGCATACATATTTTTTCATTTCTTCTGAATAAGTTCTTTTATTGCTTTCTGTACACATTTCTGCTTTTAAACTTGTGAAACAGTGTTGCATTTTGTCAGTGTGACAGTGGCGTTATAGAGGATTCCCTGCACTTTATCTTTGAATGCAACCTCTATGACACACAGAGAACTCAACTTATTCACAAAGCCCTCATTGAGGGATTCAACTGGCCCTGCACGCCCGATCTCATCATTCAACTGGCCCTCACTCACGATCATGCCACCTACAACGAACTTACCGAATGTATCCGGGAAACCGGCGCTTTAAATCCAGACTTCACCAACCGAAATCAGACAAGGGACTCTTCACAAGACAGGTGACCTCTACACCAGGGGCCTTGATATAACCGGCGGAACATGCACACGTCTGTAACTATCACCACTTTCAACTCCAGTATTTATAATTGTTCTATAACCACAAAGCTTTTCTTTCATATGTAACGCGCCATAACTATGTATACACTCTTTCGCATCCTGCACATGTATCCTCTATTTAAATTACTGTGTTGTTCGCGCTGACGATTTCTCTCATCTTTCCTCTCACACTTTCACCCCCCCTCATCCATTACCCCTCCTCCCTTCCTTTTTACCCCAGGCGATACCCCTGAGTAGTCCTGGTCTTCCGCCCCTTTCATTAAAAATAAAAATAAATAAATAAATAGACTATAGTCACAACAGACTAGTATTTTAAATTTAAAAAAAAGAAATTTTATTTTTTGAAATGATGATTATCCAAAATATTCAATTATTTTGATCTAATGGTTTAATTTTTCTTCTGAGTAAATTTTGAATTTTGTATGCCTAAACTGTGTGTAGATTCTTTCTGTTTCGCTTTGATTTAAAAGCGGAAAAGTTTTGCCATAAATGTTGCAAAACTTGACAACAGGTTTCGGAAAAGACCGTTGTTGTTATTCGATTCTCCTGTTTCTATGATTTCTCTTGATGCTTCCTCTTCTTCAATTTTTATTTTTTTGCTTTCTATTTGGCAGATTTCTTCGTTGTCAGCATGTCTCTTTCTAATAATAAACAACGCTTTTTGCCCGCGACTGTAAATTAGACAGAATTAGATAACCCAACAATTAGGGTATAACATTTTGCAGGGCTTATCACACCAAGGCCGACTGGAAGAAGGACCAGAACTTTATAAAAAAGGTTTGGTCTTTAATAATCACATATCAAATTTAGGTAAGTATGCATTTCGGGTACAAGGACCCCTCATCAGCTTACAAACACATGGCAACAACGTAACAAATACAATACTAATAACCTGTCGGTACAACGGGGTAATCTACATATGCGGTGCACTGCATTTACAAATTATCAAAGTAACTTATACACTAAAACTAAATTATCAAGTATAAATCAGCATCCAATGACAATGTGGTATCACATATTATCTCCACCCGTAAATGTCTTAGTTTCTCCTACATTTTCCAAATTCTGGTAGACGGTTACACTATTAATAATAAATATTGTTAAGTATATTAAAACCTAAACAAAAGGAGGGGAGAGGAATCCAACAATGAACTTACTCTTATTAAACCAATTGGTCTCCAAATTTTAACACAAAACAAAATACAACTAATCTATAAGCCTTTGTGAAGTCAACTGCACTGTCCATCTGCATTTTACAAGGTGATGTGCCTAAACTCCCCACATCTGTTCAGCATCTGTTTCAAGGTTAAGTGAAAACAATGTCAATCCACCCCTCATGTAGCTTCAGTCCCATGTTGTTATTAATTCTGATGTCTTCCTGTATCTTCAGAATTTCTAGGTGTTCCTGTAGTCTTCTTTTAAGTTGATTGTTTTCTGTCATAATACACTTGATGCTATCTTTTAAAATTTCACAACCTTCAGTGTTGCAATGTTGTGCCACTGATGATGATATTAAATTATTTTTGATGGCATATATATGTTCTTTAATTCTTGTCTTTAATTTTCTACCAGTTTCCCCTACATATCTTTTTTTATGTGAACAACTGCAATCTAATGAGTAAACTACATTATCTTTTTCTAAAACATTATGTTCAATGTTACCATGTTTACTGTTTAGCAAATTTGCTATGGTGCTTTTGTGGTTTGGTACTAAAATAATATCTAATCTTTTTAATTCATTTTTTAATTTTTCAAAAACACCAAAAACATATTCTATTTTTAGGTACACGGTCTTAACATCTATTGGTTGTCTATTTAACGATATATTTTTCCTTTTGCCTTTACTTGCTTCCAACCACTTAATCAATAATGTTCTAGGGTAATTATTTAGATTAAACATTCTTATTATATTTTGTATTTCCATTTCTTGATCAGTGTGCAAGGTCGTTCTTTCTTTAATTTTGTTGATATACATTTGAAAAGTGTTCTTTTTTATATATAAAGGTATATTAGATTTGAAGTCAATAACTTTATCGGTAGCACAGTCTTTAACATATTTTTTAAATAATAATTTGCCATTTAATCTAACAACAGTAAGATCTAAGTAATTCAGTCTATTATCTACTTCTTTTTCACATTGAAATTGGACATTTTTATTTATTAAATTAAT